GTACATATGTTGTCACAATAAAATGAACAATGATCATTTTACTGATGTATAAAGACTGCAAAGGCTGAAAAATCTTGAAGTCTGTTTGAAATTGGAGGTAGTTTGAGGATTAAAATTTTTATGCTTTTTAAGCTCAAAAAGGGGGTCGTATTATACATGAGATCGTATTATACACGAATAAATACGGTAAGTAATATAACTCAATCACATTTAACTTTGTTTTACTTATTAAAAAATGAACCTGAACACAAAACGAAACCCTTTCCAATGCAGCAGCTCCAGTATAAAGGCATTATGAAGCTCATTTGGGACATTATCTCCTAACGTTTCTGTGTTTCTTTTTTTTCTGAGTGATGACACCATGAATAGCCCCCGGCTCTGGGGACCGTGGCTGGAGCCGTTTGTCTTCACGCTCTAACGCTCCCTCCCTGCTGTGTTCTCAGGTGTGGTCACAGCGGTGGTCTTCATCGCCGTGTGCGCTCTGGCTGTGATAAGTCGCCTCCTTTATCAGCAGCGGCGGGCCCAGAGGAGCAGTGGCATGAAAGAGGAGCACAGGCACGGCACATACACAGACTACAGGACTGAGCTGCACCTGCACAGCTCCGTCAGGGACAGCGTGAAGGAGTACTACATCTGAACACAGCGTGCTGCCTGTGCCACAAACGTACCTCTATCTCTCTTTCTCTCTCCAACAAACGACTCTTAGGTGGACGCCCAGCTGCAGGAACGACACATCTCAGTGCCCCCCAGAGGGACTTTAAAACCCACGCAGCCTTCGCTCCTGAGAGCTAGTGGCTGAATCTCTGCAGCTGTTAGTGTATTTGATGTTGGTGAAATTGTCAGAATCAAGCTGCTGTGGTTTCCGTCATCGCAAAAAAAAAAATGTGTAAAACGAAAATGATGAATGTCCTGCAGAGGTAGACAAAAAGGACGGCACGAGTGKAGGAAGCAGATGCTGCGGTCCATCCTGGATGCACACGACTCAAACGGTTCAGTCTGAACCCTCCCACCCCACCTCCGAAATAACGGGGGTCATTAAACTGTCTGTGCAGATCAGATGTAGGTCAGCCCTGTAAGATACGAGTGCAGTCACTGCTGTGTTTTATTTTATTTCTTTTTTCCAGTCATGGTGAATGTTAAAGAAATGGGGACAATACTGCCTATAATGTATGAGTGCCTACTTTGCATATGCGCTTTTTGTTTTTGTTTCCCATTTTCCTTTTTTGAATAATTTACATTTTTTCCCCACGTGAAATGCACCCATGCAGTCGCATCTGCATAAACAGGAGCAATTTTTGTGGTTCAGTTGTGCAGAAAGTGGACTCTCCCGCTTTCTACAATCACAGCCAAACTCTTGCTTTTTGATCCGAATTGAGAGCAAAGTAGTTTTGTCACAGAGTAATTTTTTTGTCTTCACTGTATGAATCAAACAAAAACATGGCAAAAAGGAAGAAGTCATCTTTATAACTGGACAAAAGCCTCATTTATCAAACTCAAAGAGCTATAAATCTGATACACGTTTTATTTTAGTCAATAAATGTGTCAATGACATGAATCTGAGTGAAAAAACAACTTATAATCAATAAAGTTCTGTAGGGCAGTTATTTTAGAAAAGTTTAGAATAATTCAGAATTATTTTATTTTATTGTGTCTACTTGAATAAAGAAAACGTATATGAAAAATATATTTGGAATTAGAAAGTGAAAAGTTTGGTACATATTTAATATTCATTTTATGTACAATATATAATAAAAGTATATCAGTACACAACTTCAAAAAGTGTAAAAAAATACTAAAATTGCAAGGAACTATCCAAAAGCGCTTAAATGAATTGAAACTTTTAGAAACCAATAAGATGACAAATAGTTTGAGATTCAAATCAGGATCTCAGAACTAAACCTGCTTTTGTTCTGTTCTGAGGCCTGACCTGGACCAGAAGAGAGTTTCAAACGTTCTCATGTTCCTCCTGTGAGTCACAGAGACGTGCAGTCTTGTCTCTGAGTTTTTTAATGTTCAAAAAATGACATTTTTTGCCTTAAAATAGTCACATAGTTATGGGCATTCGTTTTTCGTAAGTTTTAGAGCTTTAGCTGTATTTCGACACTTTTACAGGAATTCTAATGACAGAAAACATTTGAGGCTAAAGCCCTAAATCCAGATTCAAACACCACACCACTGATAAAAAGTTGCTGAAAAACTGGTCTGAATTTGCCTATTTTCATGTCAAAGGTCTAGTCCAGTAAATGAAATTATAAACCTCGAAGCAGTTGCATAGGAGCCTTTTTATCTGAGCAGCTGCTCCCCCATTTTCTAAATTGGGGGTGCACGCTTGTGTATTCTCTCCTCTAGTTTTTGTCTTAACAGCATGTCATCACTCCCAGAAACTGGAAAAAAGCATGTAGAGAATTACCGTCCTTATTTTAGTTTCTTTGTTAGAAACTAAAACATGAATGTTACTTTCTACACCCTCTCCTTCAGCTCTGAGTCGGTTCTGTTCAGCGCTGTTAGCCGCTATCTTGTTAGTCAGAAAGCATTCAGCTGTGGAGATGAGAAAAGAAAGCCATATTGTTTTCTGGCAATGAGTCAGACAGAATGAAGTAAGAACATTGAGTGATCTCACGCTATTTAGGAGTGCAAGATATCCAGGAGTTCATAGAAAGTGAGAAAATACAGAAAATCTTTATGCTAATCTTATATTGACAGCCCAAAGTAGGTGATTTTTGATGGGTTCAACTAAAGTCTAGGGCTAAATTTGGACTACATAATCCTAAGAGAGAAAGTTTTGCAAACGTCTACATCTGATTTCATATTTAAAATAAAATAATAATTAAAAATWAACTTTACAGAAATGGAACCCTCAGTCCCTCACATTGCAATTTTCATTAGACATACATCATCAATGGGACTATTGCCCTGTAGTAGACACRATGAGTGATTTCAATCCCTGATTTTGCTTCCCCAAGGGGTGTAAGGGAGTACAATTTGGCTGGAGMGGGTAACAAAATAAGGTGCACAGCCTAAAATAAAATTTTGCAAGCTGTGCACACAAACTTTGGCTGTTATTCAAAAACTAGCCTTCAAATGTAGCTACATGACACGCTTGTCACTTAGTAACAAACACGCAGAACTCAGTGAGACTGCAACTGAAAGTTTACCTATTTTCTCACATATTTTCTGAAAGTTTGAGTCTCCAACTAGTCTTTAACAGCCGCAGCCCAGTGAGACACTACCTTAGCACTGAGACTATAATGTGATCAGCTCTGCAGTCCCCTGCCCCACGGTGCCCCGACACACAAAGGCCCACAGGTGACACAAGGAGATGTCACACAGGTGGGCAGTAGACCGCTGAAGTAGGATTTCATAATTAATCGTGGACAGGATGTGTAGCCAAAGTAATGATGACAAGGGGAGAAAAAGTTCCTTGTACATGTCAGCAGTCCAGCTGCACCTTTTGGAGCGAGTGCAGCAGCGAAATCCTTTTCTTCCCAACAAGTAATGAATTTTACTCATCTGTCTGAGAAGCAAGAAATGCATGAGTAGCCTTCCCAACATCATTAGGAGAAAGAAAAGGGCACAGCCACCAGTCTACTATCACATTGTGACCACTGACAAAGGAAGTGAAAACAGGCAGTGGACCTGTTGTGTCAGGCAGCACATGAACCTTCTGTCCATARGTTTGAAAGAAAAAAAACTGTCAGCTGCGTGACGAAAGAACAGATTGTAACGTTTAATGTATGGGTCATCTTAAGATTTGCAGCTATTTTCTAGTTTGCAGTCATCAAAACCAAAGATCCAACAATGAAAAACTAGAGACCAGACAGTCAAGCCAAAAAGTCACTGGCCATGTTTCCATCAACATGTTTTTATGTTCATTTTGAAGTTTCACTTTAGAAAAGGTGGATGGAAACAGCAAAATTTGCAAAAACCTCAGTTTCAAAAAAAAGTTTTTACGCTCGCTTGAGGTGGTTTTTAGATGTTCAAGAAAAGAGTTAATGCGTAAAAGGGGAGATGGAAACACATTTGCCGAACAAGTTCTGATGTGGCAGACATTTACTTTGATCAGCTGTTCCCGTGTGTCCGTCCGTCCATTTTCTGCCACGGGGGCAGCAGCCTAAGCAGAGAGACCCAGACTTCCCTCTCCCCAGCTACTTGGGCCAGCTCATCCAGAAG